GAAACTCTTCTTTCATGACACACAATCATCATTCTATACGAAATGTTATATTTTGACTCGCTTCAGCCTTTATATTTTGACTCGCTCCAGCTTGTTTTTCTTTGTCTTGTATATAAGCCCACCGTACAAGAACAGGGTGGTGTTCTCCCCATCATCTGTATGTCAGCATCGACACAATAAAGCTTCGACAAAGTTCCGTCTTCAGAACATAGGTAGCCAATACCCTACCTTACAGAATATGACAGGTTCCACCGGTAAACCTCTTACATGGTTCGCGCAACGGCCCTTGGAATTCGGCGGAGGAAATTAATGCACACACCTAATAGGAAGTTGGGGAGAATCCCTGCGAGTGAGGTGGATAAGATAAATTCTCGTCTAGGTTCTGCAGAACCGATTGCACGATGTGTGACAGAACGTTGTCATGATGCAGATTTCCTTCTTCTTTTGTTGATCAGTGCCGAGGCAATTCTTGGTATGTTTCGTCGACTTTGTGGCAGTACTTGTTTCCGCTGTAACCGTTTTTGCGAGGAGGAAACATTGGCGGTTGAGACCTATTGCAGGCCATCTAACAGTCACCGTGGTCTTTTTTCTTGGCACAAATTTGGCTTCAGATGCTGTTGTAAAGCTTCGTCGCGATCCAACGTCGTATGAGACCTAATTTTCATTGCACCTTCCAACTCAATTTAAGAACAGGTCACTTCGGTTTTGCGAAAGAGCAGACGACACCTTAAAACGATTTTTTTAAAATTACGTCCAACTCGTGCGGCACGAATTAATCGAGTTTTTTTCGACTTCTCAGTCTTCTTTAGACTGCTGGAAGTTGGAAATATATCTTACATATAATTCTTTAGCTAAGCCTTAGGTAAGTTGAACATGAGTGGCTACTACTAAGGCGCTTTTGCTAGTTGTATAATCGAATATCCGACCACCTGCTATCGTCATCTTCAAGAATTCACTGATATGTTTTCCTGTTGAACCTTCATTGCATACCTTCATTCGGTGGTGTAATTCCTGAGCCAAACGCTTTGTTGATAGAGCAAGCTACCTCTGCAGCCTTCCGGCTTAGAAAAGCACAGCTTACGTTAAAAATGGTTTTTGTGAGCCTGTGACCCTCAAGGATAGGTAGAGCATGATGAGGGTCCTTGAACCAGCTTGGGCGACGTGCACCCAAGGTAAACTTGCTATTAAGCGTTGTCAAAGCTGAAGAAATTGCACCACTCCCCTCGGGACCCACACCTTGCACGCAGGCAGCTTACTGCGGATAGCTATATGCAATGACGCGTGCGTTAACGGCTCCTTCAAATACTTCTTTTAAGTAGCCTCTGTCGTCACATTCTCGTCCAACTCTGAATTACGTCTCTTTTGAAGCTTTATAGTCTCTGAAAGCGCCGATTTCCGCATTCTTATCGCCACTTTTGTGCTATCCTCGATTATCGCTTCCATTAGTTGTCTAGAACTGGACACTCCAAAATTATCGTGAATTGTGGTTTTGAGACAAAACAAGCATGTTGTTTGAATTTGCCTCATGCTATATTTCGAGTTCTGAGAAAAGGCCCAGAACTATCTTGAGATAAAACAAATGTAAGTAATAGATAAAGATAAGTAATCAACTTAATTTGATAAATAAGGCCGAAGTAATGTAACAAGATTTAGTTGAAGACAAGTTATTTAAATACAAATTACACAAGCCGCAAGAACTTCCTTGACAACCGTGAATATAAAAGCATTCATTGTTGACACTAATTGCCTATGCTGTTTGGATAAACACTCAGAAAGTGCGCTTTTGATGCAGATGAAGGCGTATATCAAAAAGCTCGTCATATGCTCTATGGCTTGCCCTATTTCATGAGAACTACCTTCATTCGGCAAGATGCTTTGTTCACATGCTCTTAAACTGTCGACCTAACATACCTTTCTTCAATGCATTATAATGATCGACGTCGTCGAGATATTCGATGAGATATTCCACTTCACCGTAAATACCTCTCTGATTCAACCATTCCACCGTATACTGGATGGCAGCTGCTATGTGAGCATCTTCTTTTTCTCGGAGGACAGCACCTAAAAAAAGAATTTCATCTGGAAATCAAGGATTCATATTTCCATCAAATCTGCTTCACCAACAGTTGTGTATTACGAGTGTGCTGAGCCGTCTCAAAAGCGGTAATTGAGTTTGGCTTCTAGACGTTCCACGCCACAACAACTCGAAAAACGACCGGCAGCATATCCACTAACGGGTATATAACGGATTGAATATTACTGTTATCAAAGATGAAGACAATTGTATCACGATTTTTCCAGATTGAGCTGGACTTATCCTCTGAATAATTGAATGATGAAGGAATTTTTCAGCACTCTTCCTTCATTCCCAGGAAGAAGACGAAAATGGGCAATCGAAAAAAGTTCACGTAATCTATAAGAGTCGAGAAATTGGAAGCGACCAAAGTTTTGGATGGCACATCTAGAATCGATTCTTTTTTCTACAAATAATGGGCTGGCCGGAACGCTGCTTCAATAGTTTACTATTTCTCATAGGATTTCGACTTAACCAACTGCCGTTACATGAACAGCAGACCTAAGATGACCTTTTGAAGCTCTTCAGAATTTTGATGCACAATTTGATTCGCTTAGGGCATGTGAACTACAATATTGTATATTCTTTAGGTTATCATAAGAAATGCTATACCTTTCATCTGCAAGGTTCCTCGCCCCTAGTGAATAGACTAGAGGAAGTGCTCTCAAAACAGCGAATATGACACAGAGATCGTTGATGGTGTGGGAAGTCGGTAGTCATTTCTCAGGCGAATTAATAATGAATAAAAGCCGTAATCGAAAACAGCTCACGATTGAATGGAACATTATAAACGCAGCGTTACTGTGAAAACTCAAACCTCCTTTGAAAAGATCCCGGTGGGTAGGACAAACCCCTTACCACTTCCCAATTTAATTTCAAATACATAACTCTTCTTGAAAATCTATCCTTGAAAAGCTTTTCAGTTGGTATGCCTTGTCTTCAAAATTCAAATAAATCTAAGGAGTTACTGAAACGAATAGGAATGGCTCTTATACACGACTTTTTGAAAAGAGTCAACATGATAAGTAATGTGATACTATATAAGAACTATATTTCAACCAGTTTCGCTGTGCTGTACTCTGTTTCACGACAAACTTTTCCTGAGTTGTAGAAGTTAGTCTATTACTCATGTGTCGTGTTGATAAGGTCAACTCAGTCAAAGCTAAAAAATGTGAATGCGGATTAGCAAGGTGAAGTAGAGATTGGTTTTGAACTTCCGAAAAAATCCATGGTAAATCTAAGCTCTCAACTTCTTATTGTGAATGAGCATCACAGGCACTACTCTGCTGCGAGCACGGTCATCTGTGCTTTTGTTGCGATCTAAATCAGACGAAAGGGTCGGGAGTGTTGGACGTAATTTTCTCGAATCGCCATTTAGGTAATGAGATCTCATTAACCATGCAAATAGGAAATATTCTGCTCACCAATTTTGTAGGCAGTCACTTCCTGAACGGCGAAAGACAGAAGGAGGATCCAAGACCGCAAGGTCATTTTACCGTGACATTGCAAAGCTGAAGCAGCAACAAAAGTGGATAGTGAAAAACAGATTGTCAATAAAACTACGAAAAAACTAACTGGTAAATGAAGTGGAGCAAATCATGAGCCCTAGGGGTCATGCATTAAAGAATAATGCGGGAACAACGCGTGTGATAAGTAGATTATCGTGAACTGTGCTTTCCCATTGATGGGTGCATTTCTCGAATGGAACAAAAGGACGTACCAACTCAATGTGAAGTCCCAAACCCGCATCCAACATTATATATGTAACCGAGGGAAAAAAGTACACGAGAATGCTTAGACAAAAAATCGAGAGCAGTATCCTTCTTGATGCACGAACAGTTGCTGAGAAATGAAGGAAACAAAAGGTTCCGTGAAATAATGAACCGCATCATTACGCCATGTAGTACGTCTATGACATTGAATTTTCCGAACACACAGCGACTATGGCAAATTGCGAAGAGTGGGCTACGCCGAAGCAAAATGAGCTGCCCGGAGTGGCACAATGCACATAATCAAGAGCATGCAGACGGGTGCCGCCCTCGTCACAACCAACTCGCATTCTCTTCTGATGACTTCTTCTCGAAAGGAATCTAATTCTTCTGGTCAAAATCCTCGATGAAGGAGCAACAAAGAGCAAGAAAGAGCCTGAAAGGAGCAAACTATAAAGATAAAGATGTGAAAATTATATGGATTACTTATTGTCTTCGAAATGAAGCGAAGACAGAGCAGAAAGCATCAAACAGTAGAATCTGGATAAATGGTTTTCGATCGTAAAACGTAAACAAAAGCTTCAATGCTCTCTCACTAATCTCATTCCTTCATAAAAATCCGCCCCAGCTTTGTATCTCGGATACTTCGCTGAATTTGAAAAACAACCTTCACAGTGGCCATTAAGATGCAACCAAATGCGACGAAAGATCAATAAGTTCGCTTTCAGGAATCCCAAGTCTCGTGGATCACAATATCTTCTTACTCTCCTCGTTGTGGAAGACATCACCTATCCCATGACAAAGGAGATCAGAACTAAAGACGTCCTGAGGTTATGTTGCATTTATATCAACATACGACAACTAAGTATGCCTGCCAAAAGGTTCTCGAGAGACCAAAAGTGTAACTTAAATGTGTGTTGACTTTCATAATTTCTATACCTCATCCATTCCCTCTATGAGTACCTTGGGTAAAGCTTTTGGTGTTACCCAGCGTAGGTAATGCCTAATATATTAGTTGTCGTGGACTCATGTAATATTTAGGTGTCAGAAAGAAATAGGCGAAAGGCAGGCAGCATGACATGTGGGAAGGAAACTGAAGGGGCTTAGTTTGCGAGCAAACAAAACCNCTTTTGAAGCTCTTCAGAATTTTGTTGCACAATTTGATTCGCATAGGGCATGTGAACTACAATATTGTATATTCCTTTAGGTTATCATAAGAAATGCTATACCTTTCATCTGCAAGGTTCTTCGCCCCTAGTGAATAGACTAGAGGAAGTGCTCTCAAA